CTTTTTTGAATCCTAATTCAAAATAAAAATCGGTTACGGTAAACCTTATCAAGCAACGTTTTGAATTTCTCTATTTTCTTGTTTATTCATCATACGCATGAATTATTTGCGCAAAATTTCGCGGGACATATAATATTTTTTTACATTAGAAACCGTCCGAGCAAAAGTCTGGAGAAATGCTAATTCTTATGTATGCCAGCAGTTTTTCCTTGCAAGAAACATGGTCTATCCTCACTGTGTGTTTTAGTTTCGGTGAATTATTCGGTCAAAACTGCTGTTGTGGGAACAACTAACAGGGTTGCTTCTCTGTTAAAATTAAAAATGTATTTACCTGGACAAAGGATGTATATAGAGGTCAACGTAAAGAAATTTTCATGTTGATTGTACGAATTCCTAAATTTTTACTCTACATAAAACTGTCTTTAACAAAAATGCGGAAACGTGATTTCACTTACTCGCATTCGGCCATTCTTGAAGCCCATTTCTTTTATCATCGTATACTTTGTACCTTAATGCTTCAATTTCAAAAACCTGTTATTGATACACGTACTTCGATGTCCTTCTTCAGGTGACGCCAAAAACCCTGAAAAGGGCAAAGGTTTTATTTCTTTGTATTGTTTTCATGTTTTCATCCTTTTTCAAAGCCTGTCGCCGATAATGTCGTTTTCAATACTGTAATTGAATCGCGTGAGAGTACTCAAAGAGAAGAATTCAAAAGAAGAAAGTTTCAAAAGGATAGCCATCTTAAATTTGGGGAAGTTCAATGATGTATTAGGTAAACAAGCAGCGAACTCAGCCAATCTTAAACTTATTTTCCCCGAAAAGGGATTCGCTACAAATTAAAATCAAAAGAAGAATATATCGCTTCTTCACCTTTGCAGCGGAAAATATAGCGCAGAAATTATGTTTAATTTATACTTTTCGCCTTCTTCCTCGCAAATGTCAATAAGTCTTAAAAAGGCATATTTCGATTCCTTTAATTCTTCTCGAAGCGTCCTTCAATGCGGAAATGTCAACGATCAATTCTGTGGAATAGGAAACCATCGGTTACGCTTGGCAGATTTGTTGGCCTCGTGCACCAACATAGCATGAGCTGTTGTCTAATAGGGACAGATCGGGTGACTAACCCGCGAAAATTGAATTTGATTTGGGTATAAGTTAAGGGTTAAACTTTGGGAATTTGCTTTAGTGGTGATTACTGTTGTAGATTGACCTTTTGGATTTATATTGTACTGTATTTATACTGAAGAGTCTGTGCAGTGTTTAATTGGAAGGTGTAAAAGAAATTCAAACATAAGGAAGTTTGTTG